CAAATAAAATAAATAAAATCAGAAATGAAAGAGGACACATTGTAACTGATACTACAGAAATAAAAAGGATCATAAAAGACTACTCTGAACATTGATATGACAATAAGTTGGATACCCCAGAAGAAATTGATAAATTTCCAAAACATACAACCTACCAAGACTGAATCAAGGTGAAACAGAAAATCTGAATATACCAGTAACAAGTAAGGAGTTGAATCAGTAATCAAAACCTTCCAACAAAAAGCCCAGTTACAGATAGCTTCACTGGTGAAATATATCAAACATTTAAAGAAGCATTAACACTAATCCCTCTCAAACTCTTCCAAAGAACTGAACAGGGGGGAACACTTCCAAAGTCATTTTACACAGCCAGCATTACTCTGACACCAAGGCCAGAGAAGAAGGCTGCAAGAAAAGAAAACTGCAGACCAATACCCCTGATGAATGTATAAGCCAAAATTCTCAACAAAATATTAGCAAGACAAATTTGGCAGTTCATTAAAAGGATCGTACACCATGGTCAAGTTGAAGTTATCCCTGGGATGCAGGGATGGTTCAACATATGCAAATCAGTAACTGTGAGATGCCACATTAATAGAATGAAGAATAAAAAGCATATGGTTATCTTAGTAGAGGCAGAAAAAGCATTTAACAAAATACAAAAATCATACCATTATAAAAATGCTCAACAACTGGGTATATAAAGGAATGTACTTCATTCATAATAAAGGCCTTCTATGACAAACACACAGCTAACATCATACTCAGTGATAAAAAGTTGAAAGCTTTTCCTCTAAGATCAGGAACAAAACAAGGGTGCCCACCTTCACTACTCTTATTTGAATATAGTACTAGAAGTCTTAGGCAGAGCAATCACGCAAGAGGACGAGACATTCAAAACAGAAAGGAAGAGGTAAATTTGTCTTTGTAGACAATATGATCCCATATGTAGACAATCCTGAAGACTCCATCAAAAAACTAATAGAACTAATCAATGAATTCAATAAAGTTGCAGGATACAAAAACAACACAGGGGGAGGGTATAGATCAGTGGCAGAGTGCATGCTTAATATGCACAAGGTCCTATGTTCAATCTCCAGTACCTCCATTAAAATAAATAAACAAACAAACAAACTTAATTCTCTCTCCTTCCCCTTCCCAAAAAACATAAAAAAACTAAATGGATAAAACAACAACACAGAAACCAGTGGCATTTGTATACAACAGCAAAGAAATATCTAGAAAAGAAATGAAAAAAATCCCATTTACAATTGCATCAAGAACAATAAAATACTTTGGAATAAATTTAACCAAGGAGATGAAAGATCTATACACTAATAACTATAAAATTTTGAAAAAAGAAATGAAAGAAGACACAAACCACTAGGAAGATACTCCATGTTCACAGATTGAAAGAATATTGCTACAATGTCCATATTACCCAAAGCCATCTATAGATTCTATGTAATCTCTATCAAAATTCTAATGGTGTTTTTCATATAAACAGAAAAAAAATCCTAAAATCTGCATGTAATCACAAAAGACCTCAAATTGCGAAAAAATCCTGAGAAAGAAGAACAAAGCTGGAGGCATCATACTTCCTGATTTCAAACTACTATCAGTAGTAATCAAACCAGTATGGTACTAGCATAAAAATAGACCCACAGACCAATGGAACAGAATCGAGAGTCCAGAAATAAACCTTCACATACGCAGTCAACTGAGATTAGTCAATGGATGAAGGGACAGTCTCTTCAACAAGTGACATTAGGAAAACTGAATAACCACATGCAGAAGAATAAAATTAGACCCCTATCTTATACCACGCACAAAAATTAAGCAGAGATGGTTTAAACATGTAAACAGAAGAACTAAAGCCATAAAACTTTTAGACAAAAACAGGGACAAAACTCCTTGACTTCAGTCTTGGTAATGAATTTTTTGGCTTTAACACCAAAAGCACAAGCAACAAAAGAAAAAATTAGTAAGTGGAAGCACATCAAACTAAAAGCTTCTGCACAGTAAAAGAAATAAAATGAATGGGAGAAAATATTTGCAAACCATATATCTGATAAGATGTTAATACTAAAATATATGAAGGAGTCATACACCTCAACAGCAAAAAAATCAATCTCATTTAAAAATGTACCGAGGAGTGGGGAGGGTATAGCTCAAGTGGTGAGCGCATGCTTAGCATGCACGAGGTCCTGGGTTCGATCCCCAGTACCTCCTTTAGAAATAAATATAAACAAGTAAACCTAATTACCCCCTCCAAAAAAGTAAATACAAATGTACAGAGGAACCGAACAGATATTTTTCCCACAAAGACATATAATGACCAACAGGTATATGAAAAGCTGCTTAACATCATTAATCACCAGGTAAATGCAAATCAAAACCACTTCACATCTGTTATAATGGCTCGTATCAAAAGAGTAAAGATAACAAGATTCAGTGAAGGTGTGGAGAAAGGGGAACCCACACACCCTGTTGGTGGGAATGTAAATTGGTGCAGACACTATGGAAAACAATATGGAGGTTCTTATCATATGATTCAGCAATCACACTTTCATATATATATATATATACATGTATCTCCAAAGGAAATGAAATCAATATTTCAAAGAGATCCCTTAGTAAAAGATCCATTCATTAAACTCTCAATTCCTACCTTTCAGAGTGCCAGCTTTTTCCTGCCAGAAAGCATACTGTGTCAGATTTATTCTCAAGCACTTTTTATCTCTTGATGCCATTTTATATGGCATATTTTAAAATAACATTTTCTATTTGTTGCTAGTGCATGCAAATGCAATTGCTTTCACTGTACTTTTCAAAAAATCAGCTTGCTAAATTCTTACTCATTCTCAGGGGTAGGGGTATAGCTCAGTGGTAGAGCATGTGCTTAGTATTCACAAGGTCCTGGGTTCAAACCCCAGTACTTCTATAAAAAAAAAGACTTGTATTAATTCCAATAATTCATACTAGATCTTTTTTAAAGATCTAAATATAAAATATATAGATTTTGCTTTATATATAATCTCCAAAAATAATCTTTAAATAGTAGATTTGTAACCTTCTTTGCAACATTTATGCCTTTTGGGGTTATGTAAACATCTAGTTCAATGCTGTATGGGAGTGATAGTGGTAATCATTCCTGTCTTGCACTTGACCTAATAGGGAATGTTTTAACTGTTTCATCATTAGGTGTGACTTTTTCTTCAGATATTCTATCAGGTTAAGCAGGTCCCTTCTGTTTCTAGTATCTAACAGTTTTTATCATCAACAAATGAATACTAAATTCTGTCTAAAACTTTTTACACAATGCAATGAAATATTGATATCATTGTCTTTTTTAGTCTTTTAATGTGGTTAATTAATTGCATTAATCTGTCTTCTAATACTGAACTGATCTGAAGCCTAAACAACTGATCATGATACTTAATACTTTTAGAACTTAGAATCCAAGTAAGTAGGAAGTAAACATTCTTAAGAGACAAAGTAGTTTTCAGTTCAATACTTACCTATACACAACTAGTAATAAATTGACATATACTAATATTTTACTGACTGGTTGTTCTAACCTGAGTTGTGTGTTTTATTTATTTATCTCCATCAGTAAGTTATTTAATAAACATTAGTCAGGCATTCACTAAATGCCACTCAGTGTTCTGGTACTAGAGTACAAAGACGATAAAGCCATAACCATTGCCATTAGGAGGCTTGTAATTTAAGTGTGAATGAAGTGTGTGTGTGTGTGTTGGACCATAGGGTTAGGTTGAGAGAACAGATAATAGAAAACATATACTGTAGGTGCTGTACTATAAAGGAATAAACATGAACAAAATGCTAAGGAAATAGAATGGGGAAGCACTTCAAGTCTCCATTCAAGTAATTAAACTTGAATCTTCAATGAAGATACATGCTAAACACAAAATGATAATGGAGAAGGAAACATTCACAGACGATTGTGCTGATTAAATATGTATGTGCCAAGACACTATTGCCTTGGGGATAAAGTAGTGATATGGCCACAAAAATCTCTGCTGTTTTCGGTTGACATTCTAAACAACATCAAAGGAAAGAAAAGAACTTGCCCATAGAAAGGACCTTTCCTGCTCAGGACAGCTTTTGTATGAGCAATCCAGCAACAGTTCTGATTGTTACACAACGCAGCGACATCCGAAGTGGGCAGCCTGCAGGAAGATAACACCAGTGTTTCTATTTAGTTTTTAGACCCTTCTAGTATTTCTATTTTTTCTCAATGCATTAACATGTACGTAGTTTACAAATTACTATCCGTATATTGGGAGTGTGGAGTCAAGTTTCACTGACGATGGTATTTCATTAAAAAATTTAGGAACCACGGCTTTAGAGTGCTCCAAGGTACTCAACAGAAAAAGTAATTTGAATTTAACTATATTTAAAGTCACATAACACTCACGTCTAAAACACCAGCAAGGCTGGAATGTTTGCATAGCATTACGGATGGCTGGGGAAAGTTCTTTTCTAAAGGGCCTTACTTGTAGACATTCCCAGAGGGAGCTGCCTATGTAGCTAGCTGTTAATAAAGGCTGAAAAAAGTTCTTAGACGGTGTTTGCCGGTTTGGGCCGCCGCCGGGAACAACTCTGGTGTTCCGCCTAGATGTTCAGACACCGAGCAGAGTCCAACCGGCTGGACTGCTCGGTGTGTAATTCGCAGGGACCACCGGTCCAGGGTCTGAGAGGAGCAGGACCCGCTTTCGCACCCCGCGATCTAGGCCCGGGAGGAGCAAGGCCGCGCGGGACAGTCAGGGCTCGGAACCACGACTTCGGTCCGCGGCCTAGAGCGCCGCCAGGCGCCCAGCGTAGTCGCGTGGGGCCAGCATCACGTGACCAACGTGTTCTGACCTCGCGCCTGCGCGCTGTCGTCCTTCGCGCTCCGATAAGCCCCTTCTATCCCGGGAACCCGCCTTCCCGCCAGATCGTCACTTCCGGCGGACGCTCAGCGTCATTGGTGTCGTCACTTCCTGCGGGTACCGGTGTGGACGGTGCGGGTCGTGGCCGCCGGTTCTCCGACTCTCCCCTTACCCTAACTCTCCTCCCTCCCTCCCTTTCCCTCCCTCGGCGGCGGTCGGTCTCCCGTCGCAGATTCCCCGACCTATCCCTGACCCCTCTCTGATCGCGGGGCCACCAGATTAGCCCTTTTCTTTTTCCCGGCCCAACCCCAGTGTCAGGGCGGGGGCCTTGAAGAGCCGGAGGCGCTGCGGCGGAGGAGGGAAAAGACCAGACGACCCCCGACTGGCTCGCCGCCGCCATGGCAATGAGGCAGACGCCGCTCACCTGCTCGGGCCACACGCGGCCCGTGGTGGATTTGGCCTTCAGTGGCATCACGCCATATGGCTATTTCCTAATCAGCGCTTGCAAAGGTAAGCAAGGCCGCTGATGCGGCCCCTAACGTCTGGGACTGGGCGGAAGGCGAGTGGGGCTGGCGCTCCCCATTGTCGAACGGATTGCGGGGTTCGCGGCCTTGGAGGATAGGGCCCAGAGTGGGCTGATGAGAGGAGCAGTGTTAAGGATTCCGCAGCTGACGCCAAGAGAGGTTTTTCTGACGCCTCTGAAACGAGGCAAAGTATTGCTCCTAACCAGGGCCTCTCATTTTATCTTTATTGCTATTTCTGGAGGAGCTGGACTGTACACTTGTCTAGACGCTCCGGCCAGCAACACCGTGAATATCTTCCCAGGATTTGCAGAATGCAGAAATTAGGCCAGGCTAAGTAACACCTTATTTCATTTTGCACAGATTTGTCACTCCTATTATCTCATTCCTTTGTAGCAGTGGTCTCATTTTTAAAGTGGAAACTGGGACTTAGGTTAAGAAGTTTGTTCAAAATAAGGCTCAAATCTAGATCGTTTTGACGCAGATCAGTATTTTCACCGAATTACAGATGCTTCCCAGAGAGAATGTCCTGCTCAGTTCTTCACTTAATTTACTTCTGGAAGTTCCTTAGTGACCCCAGTGATTGAGAATAGTTAGACAACAAAAGTAATTTTCCACTTCTTTTTCGATATGATCGTTTGAGTCTTAGATATTAAATAATCTGAACTTCTAAATCACATGTCTTTTAAAATATTTTTTAGATGGTAAACCTATGCTACGCCAGGGAGATACAGGAGACTGGATTGGAACATTTTTGGGTCATAAGGGTGCTGTTTGGGGTGCAACATTGAATAAGGATGCCACCAAAGCAGCTACAGCAGCTGCAGATTTCACAGCGTAAGTGTCGCCAGAAATGGCCACCTTTGCAGTTCTTTGGGGATTGTGTTCTGAAATGATCAAAACTTCAACAAAGGTTACTTATAAAATTCTAACACCGTATAGAATGCATGGTGTTTGATTTCACCAAGATCCCACCGTGGTCCTATCTGCTTCCTTCTCTTCAATGGTTCTCAAAATGTCCAGAGACTTAAATAACTTACTCTGTGTGTCTGGACTGGGACCCAGGAATCTGCAGTATGAACGTGCACTCCAGATAATGAATGTTGGTGGTGGTGCTTCCAAATACTGCTCCACATGTACTAGCTGAGTGATATACACTCCTGTGACGTCCTAGTGCTGGTGGCGCCACGTTTAGCCCAATTTTACTCTCATTTTTGTTAGACATACTTGAAACTGCCAACTCAGTTACTCTTCATTTTCTAAGTTCTTAATGGCTGAAATCTAAACATTCTTGATTTTTTCCTTCCATCTAGATCATCGTCAGCTTTGTTGATTCCACCAGCAGATAGTTTCTTGACCACGTTATTTCTTATGCCTCTGCCATTGCTGTATTTGTTCACGTCCCTGCCACTGGTCCTTTCCTATCTATTCATCCTTCGTGGTGCTGCCAGTTGTCTTCCTGAAAACAAATACCATGTCACTTCTCTAGCTAATGATCTTCCTGTCTTCCCTCTACTTTTTCAGTGGTTCATGACCTTGGATGTACATTAGACTAACCTGGGAAAGTTTTAAAAATACTCCGATGCATCATGTGTCTGAGAAATTGTGATTTAATTGACCTGGGAGGAAGTCCCCAACATCAGGTTTTTTTTTTTCCCTTCCCTAAAGTTCTTTAGGTGACTCTGATTTGCAGCCTTTAACCGCTGGCCTAAAGGTTAAATTTCAGTTGTCAGCTGTTTAAAATTTGGCCTCGTCCTAGTTCCTTAGCATCATCTAGTACTGCATGCCACATGCCCCACAGTTTAGGTAGACTAAACTTAGCATTGTTCTCTAAATACACCTCACCTGTTCTGATTTTTGGCTTTTGCGCATGTTGTTAAAGTGACTTGCAATGACCCACTTTCCCCATCTGGGTATGTGTCATCTCTTACATAACTTGATACCTCTAGCTCCTAATTGTATTTGTGACTTATTAGATCCTTAAGTGTTTAAAGCTAAGGAAAGTAATGTCAAAGGCTGTTGTACATATAATACACTTTATTAGACTTAAGAGTCTGGATAGTAAACAGTGGTCTTGATTTTTTTTTTAAGCAATTTCACACTAAACAGTTGCAAATGTGTTGTTCCTTTGTTTTAAGCAGATTAAACATACCAAGTTTATTATGAAAAATGAAGGCAGCTTGATTGTGGTAGTGGATACATGATTCTATGCATTTACTGAAACTGATAGACCTCTGTACCACAAAGTGAATATTGTCGGTAAACAAAAAATAAATAAATAAAAATTTTTAAATAAGGAGAGGGAGAAATAATCCCATGCTTACATGGGATTAAATTTGAGATGGTGAGAGATCAGTAAGAAAAGTTATAAATGTTAGTCTGAACTTTTTTTGTCCTTCTATGAACAGATACTATTATGTCTTTATGCCTAACCATTGTAAGGTTTTGTGCTCTGCTCTGTTGTGATTGTGTGCAGTACTGATAAAACAACAAACTGTTTGGCTTTATGTAAATCCATTCCTGTCAACAGCTTCAGATCAACTGTTGCTTTAAGATGTCTGCTTGTGTGCTTATAATGTGACTGAGACTTCTTTGATTGTTGATTATTTGAGGTGAAAAATAGGATATAAAGGTGATTCTCAGAGAAGGAAAATTTACAGAGTGCTGAAGGTGAAAGTGTCCATTCCCTTTTTGCTCATTCTGTTCCCTGTATTAAGCTTCTGGCTCTTTTGTAGTACTTATGCACTTAAGTCTTACATTTTTTTGTCAGGAGCCATGTCGTATATTTTTTGTTCCCTGGCTTATTCAATTCCTTATGTTTGTCAAATGAATACATAATTTTTCTAAAGTAGAAGGATAAAGGATGGATGAATTACAGATCTTGGTTTTGCTTATGGGACATTTGTGTCTGCCATGACTTCAGCCATTTTTTTCCCCTTCAGCTCCTCCAAAGTTTGTTTTTTGTTCAGTCCATTTGGACTATTGTCATTGGGAATGAATGTCATTGATTTTGTAACAGAGATGGTAAATTGGAATTAACAACTCTAGATTTCAGATATTTGGTAAGTGGATTATTATAATGTCATTAATGAAACTGGATCCAATTTGGTGGTGATAAGTTATAGTAATAGCTAATAAAGTGGTATTTTTAATTAATTAGAATTAAGTGACATAACAGGATTTTAAACACTACAGAAATTAGCATTAAAAGAGACAAGCTTTTGCATTGCAGTTCTGGAAAAACACATTTTTGTTGACCTCAGTTCTGTGTTATCTGGCCCTAGCAATGATAATTACACAAGCAAAATGCTTCATCGCCTGCTTGATGGTCTTGCTCTGATCTTTAAGAGACCTGTGCAGAAGCTTGTTAGGGAGGATGCCCATCTCTGTAAAATCCCTGAAGGCTCTTGATTTGTACATTTGACCAAATTGTAATACCAGTCCTCAGGAAAAGAAATAAAGGAAATTAGATAGAAATTACTGTTCAAGTGATAATTACTTTGAAATGGAGAAAGAAAGGGTGTGGAAAAGTAGGGCACTTTAAATACTTTAATGGAGTTCTGAGAAGAGTAGTCAGGATTTTTATCTTGCTGCCAGAGGCACAGGCATCTCTATTTAGGTCACTAAGACAACATTAATAACCCAAATCATACATTTGAGGGCATGTCTGTGTATAGGTATATTCAGTGTTGTTTTTATGCTTTCTTCACATTTCAAGCCTTAGTGTCTGTTTTTACAAGTGGTTTTTAAAAGCATGGATGCTGGCTCCATCATTTAATACCTCTGTGACCTTGTGAACTTTATTTAACCTCTGTTTTTCTCAGTTTCATCATCTGTAAAAGTGAGAATAGTAATAGTGTTTGTCTCAAATACTGGTTATGAATATTAAATAAGTTAATGTGTTTCTAATATTTAGAATATTGCCTAATATCTAATGGCTGTGTAAATGTTACATATGTAAGGTAACACTGATAGCTATCACCTCCACTAGACCAAAATTATATGTGTTATTTTGGAATTCCTATGGCTAAAGCCATGAAACCTTCTGGTTTCATGCAAGGAAGTTTATGTAAATTTAAATATCAAGGAGTACTTCTGGTTGGTTTTCCCCTTAGGTAAAGCGTTGAGGTGCCATGATGTAGTAGGAAAGATGTCAGCATTTGCATTAGGCACACCTGAGTTATGTGATAGCCATGCTGTATTTTTTCAGTTTGATCATGAGATGCTTCTTAAACCTCGGTTTTCATATCTGTAAAGTGAGTATAAGACCAACATATTTATTGGGAGGATGAGACACATCTTTCTCTACTTAGGTGCCTGGAGTCCAGCCTAGTGTCTGTTACACAGCAGGTGCTCAGTAAGTGCTAGCTGAGACATAGCCCTTACTTGCTCTGTGTCTGTCTGTTAGGCGTGGGAGTGTGTGCATTCTTTGTTTATATTATCCTCTTTTAATGATTTGTAAGGGGCCTGCTATTAGAGAACTTGATCCAGCTAAAGAATAGCTCCCCAGCTCACCTGATTAATCATGGCTGATATCAATCATTTTTAGGTAATTCTTCTTCTTCCTTCATTCTTAACTTTTCTCGGAAAGTTCATTAACGTCATGTCTGTCTAAATGAGAATTTTGTTCCTGTTTCTTGTAGAGAAAATTATATTTAGGAGAGCAGGTTTGTGGGTCAGTTTAGAATGTTATCTAGAGGTAATTCAGGCAGTCAGTTAGTTGAAGCATATACTGTTCCTGAAACGCCATCCTCTACAGCTTTGAATTCACAGAGTTAATGTTAGCATTGCATCTCCTGATCCTCTTCTCAGTACCTCTACTATCTTCCCATCAGATCATCTGTACCACAAATATAGATAATTCCTATACTCTTTCCAGAGAGTGCTTAAATAGATCTGGGTTTGGGTACCTATGGGTAACCAGAGTGTATGATTGCTTTTTTTTTCTTGTGGAAGTCAATAGAAAGAGCTAATTTTTCTCTGAATAAGGTTCTCAATAAATCAAAGATAATATTGTCTTTTTTTGTTTTGGATGACTTGGTCACCATGTTAAGATAATTAGACAGTTATACACCTGAAATAGCTTAAGTGTTTTGTTAAGGCTTTAAAGAAGTAAGTTAAGCAGTCCCTCTTTTGAGACTTAGGGTAAGTAAATCTGTTCTCAGAAGAGGAAAAGTATTCGTCAGATAATACTGACTGTTACATACAAGAAACAGGGATTATAAGAGGCATTTAGGCAGATGGCAGGTACTTCATGAGCTGTGCAGAAAATAAATGATACAGGATTAGCTGTTGATACTGTTAATGATGCTTCATTAAACATCTTCCTGTGTGGGCCCTTCCTGCCATTTCTGTTTTGTCCAGGGGGGCCCCTTGGGGGATATCCTTTCCCTTGTTTTGATTTGATCCCTGCCACCAGCTAATTCATACCAATTTCTTGCCTGGAGATTGAAAGATATGTTATAAAAGATTCAGGTTATTCCAGATTCTTAGAACTCCGTTTCTAAGGACTCACTGTGAATCATGGAAATGTACCAGAATTAGTACAAGTGACTAGAACATTCTCTGTCAGGGAGTGGCATCCTCCATTTTACTCCTGTTTCTCAACAGGAAGAAAAAGACTGCAGATACACTGGCCCTCTGGATGGTGCTACTTTAGACACTCCAGTTCTTCCTTCTCCCCAGTTGGACGTGGTCTAAGCAGAAAACTAGATTTTAAGGGCTTTGGGATGATTGAATATACTTGAAATTAGTATTTCAGAGGACATCCCCCAGAGTTCCTTTGAGACTTGTCATCATGTGAGTAGGGTAGAAGTTTTAGGTACATTTGATTTTTTTTTTCACTTTTGACACCTTCTGTTATTGCACTAATCTGGAATCCTAATCTTTGTTAACTCTTAGCACTGATTTCCCTGTGATTAAGAGTAAACATACGTAAATAAAAGTAAAAGCAAAGCAAAATTATACATAGTAATCAGTATAAGCTGAATTCTGTGGAAAAACAGAAAGGAATGGTTAATGGAGGCAAGTTAAATAGAAGATTTAATAAAAAGATAGCATTTGAAATGAGCCCTGAGGATGAGTAGGACTTCGTTAGCTGAGAATATAAAATACAGACTTAATGGGACATTATGAGCAAAGACAAATAGAACAAAATGCCTGGCTTGTTTGAGGAATGGTTTATGATGTGGTGTGACTAGATTCAGAGAAATAATACAAAATGAGGTTGAGAAAGTAGGTTTGGGCCAGAGAGTTGAATTGGAAACGGGAGAGTTTGGAGCAGGTTCCCTGTGCAAAGAGAAATTAATACTTGAGGATTTAGTAGCAGCCACTCATAGTTGGCGTTGTTTCTCTCAGAGCCTATTTATTCAGCCACTCAAATGACTCAAGTGTATCCTTTGCAAGGTTTATATTGTATCATCAGCATTTATTCCTGTTAGATGGTTCATGTTTCTTTACTACTGTACATGCTGTTAATGCTTGTCTACCATAGCCTTCCCCCTCCTCCCCCAGTATTTTGCTTTTTAAGACTACTGGCTTTGCTGCTTAGATTTTCTCTACTTTCTGGAATAATTAGTGGTGTGTTTTTTGCATATGTTTCTATAGCCATATGTGTTTGTCTTTTAATTATATTTCTTAAGTATTATTTAATGCATGTTTTTTTCTCCTTCGCTAAAGCTAAAGCTCTAGTAAGGGAAGGAACTTTCTTTGGGATCATTTTTTTTTTCCCCTCTGGTGCACTGGATCTAGAATGATATAATATACTTGATGTATTTATTGTGTGCTTATTGAGTAAATGAAGAAAAGATACTCTTGCTTTTTTCTGCTTTTCTTTTTCTTTCTCTACTGTTCATTGTTCACTTTATTCCTAAAAATAAATGTCAGTTATGTTAAAATGGAAATCTTTATGGAACATAGCTTGTTTCTCATAACAGTTTCTTTGCCCTGTTTAGAAAGTTTTCTCATTTATTCTTCAATAATTTCTTCTGATATAAAATGAATTCTTTTTTTCTTCTTTTTTAAGCATTTTAATTTGGGGAACCCATTACAGTATCTTTCTGAAGTATTATTTAACTATTATCCCCCAACATAGACACATACTTTGGGTTGGAATGGGTTAGGGAACATGCAATTGAGAGATTTAAAATTCTCTCATTGTTAGCATTATATAATCAAGGGCTGATATTTTGTGGGGAAGTTAATTGGACTAAGATTTGAGAATTTAAGAGTCAACTTTGAAGAAAAGATGGGGAGAATATTCTCATCTGTACTATCTTGATTTAAAATTTTATGTAACCTATATCAAGGCCTTTCATTCTCCTGTACATTTTTAAAGGATTTCTTGTTTTTCTTTTTTTTGTTTTGCATGTACATGAGAGTAGAGAATAGAGAAAAAAATGGAAAGATGTAACTGAATTGGTTTAAGTGTTTACAGTATTGCTAAAAGGATCTTATGTCTACGGGCTAAAATGAAAGTAAGGATGGATTGGTCGTGGATCTTTTGCATTGTCAAAATTAGATAGGTTATGCAGCTTTTATATTATAATGCATTTATGTAACATTTTGCATATTATTATAACCTTATTTGATAATCATCAGAATTACTATTATGTTTATTTTTTTGTTTTACTTTTCATGTTTAGCAAAGTGTGGGATGCTGTCTCAGGAGATGAATTGATGACCCTGGCTCATAAACACATTGTCAAGACTGTGGATTTTACACAGGTATCAGAAAATGGGATTTATTTTAGGGGTTAAATTGCTGTTATTAGAGGATATGACACTGACTATGTATTTGATTGGTTTGTATATCTGATTTATATTTGGTGTTCTGAGGAATATTTGATCGATATTGGCTTATATGTGATTTGACCATAGATTAATTATGTGTATTTACAGCTGACCCATGAAAGCCAGGGGCTTGAACTGCATGGGTTATACACAGAGATTTTTCAGTAGTAAATTCTACAGTATTACGGGTCCATGGTTGGTTGAATCCACGGGTACAGGGAAACCATGTATATGGAGGGCCAACAGTGACTTAGACATGGATTTTCAACTGCTTGAAGGGTGGTGCCCCTAACCCCTGCATTGTTTAAGGGTCAGCTGTATTTTTTCTTGGTTGGTACTATAGGACATTTAAGAAACCCTAGAACTCCTCTATTGATCCTCCAGCAATAGCAACAAACATCTAAAAAGCCCAAATAATGTTCCCCAACTACTTTCAGAAGGGAGAGGATAAATTTTAGATTATCACAGAAATGCTGCTCCAGAGGGAGGGGAGCAGGATCAGGGCAGTCTAAGAGAAGCCATGTGGTGTGGTGTGATGTTTAACTGGGAAGCTTAAATGTCTTTTGCATTTATGAGAAAAATAAATGCTCTGCAGTGTCCAGAAGACACTGAGTAATTGGCCTGTCTGCATCTTTGTGACATCTGTGAGCTTATGTAGATTTTATTTGGTGTTGAAGTTTCAGAGATGTAACTATTACAGTAGTTAATGTAGTAACATTTTGCTTGTGTGTGTTTTCAGGATAGTAATTACTTGTTAACCGGGGGACAGGATAAACTGTTACGCATATATGACTTGAACAAACCTGAAGCAGGTAAGTAATTAATGCATATTGGTGGTTTTATTATATTTTAACTTAAATAACTTTTCCTAGTTAAAGGAATTCATGTTTAGTACTCATGTTAGGAAAATAAAGGTAGCCACCAAAAAAAAAAAATTTAAAACAATCCATCACCCAGTATTATTAAATACTGTTAATGTCTTTAGTTTCAAGTTCATGTTCTTCTGGTCTTTTTTTTTAAATATTGATTATTTTCTACATTATGCTTGTATAGCCTTTCTACAATTTAACATTTTATGCTAATAAATTTTTATCATGATATTAAGTCTAAAAAGGTGCATAACAGTATTAACTACCTTTTGGTTGGAAAGAGTGGTTACCTTTGGGTGAGAAAGGTAAGAATTCTTTGTGTGTTTTCATGTTTAGATTCTTGAACTACATGAGTGTATTCAGGAACTGCTAAAAGTCTGCAGTAACAGTTTTTTCATGTCTTTACATATTCTGTCTACTCTTCAATGATTGTGTGGGTCTCTATCCTGTGAACAAGTATATTAGTCTATCTTCTGTTACATCCTGTTTAGGCTGTTGACAGATTTTAAAGGTTATAAGCAGTGTTATGCTAAACATCCTTACAGTTCAAATATTTGCACATTGTTTCTTAGGATACCTACATAGAAATAGAATTGTTGGGACAAAGGGGAGGTACACTTGGAAGCCACTGATAGATGTTACCGAAGAGCCTGCCAGGGAAGTAGAAAAATATATCTATAGCTAACCTGTTCTAGCGAACACTGTTAACTAATGTCACCTTTGCCACTTAAATAGAAGAAAAACGATTTTGTCATATTAAAGTGAACTTTAAAAATTATTCATGAGATTAAACTACTGTTGAATATCATTTTAATGTATCTTTTTTCTGAACTAAGTGTTCATCCTTTTGGCCATATATCTGTTGTGATCATCTTTTTCTTACTAGTTTTAAAGTTTCTTTATTCTGGTTTGTCATTTGTTTTTAAATTTTGTTGGTAAGGTTTATGGTACACGTGTTAAAAGATTTTTGGTAGTAAAATCTATCATTTATGAATTCTCTCATTTGACAGAAATTCTAAGAGATACCTTTTCTTTACTAGTCCAGATATTCACCTCTACTTTGTAATATTTTAATGCTTTTCTAGCCACATAATATATATATTTTAAAAGCTACCAAAGTATAACGAACAGAATTTTGTTTTACTTACTATATATTAGTTTATATCTTAAATTTTGTATCATGGGCATTTATTGTTTATTCATTAGTCAGTAAACTTTAGAAATTTGTAAGAGAGTCAAGCTAAGTTGGCAATTAAGCAGTTTTTCCTGAGATACGTGTTCTAAAAGTACTTCTAAGGTGAAGAAATAAACTAAATTGATAAGACATTCTCCATTGGCACCTGGGAGTATTTCTCATTGTCTCTGATAGCTTTACGCCGCAGCACAGCCACGTCCTCTGACCTCCCTTAATTAGTGACTGTGCCTGTCTGACTCAGCAAGGTAGTTCAGGTTCAGACAGATGTTTTCGGTCGTCTTTGACCTTTCTCAACACTGCTTTTTAAAAGTGGCTCTTCCACTGCCTAGCACTTGAAATAAGAGCAATTAACTGGGCTTTTCCTGTCAGACACCAGGTTAGAAACTTTGGATGATGGCTGCTATAATGTGTGCATGGTTTTCATCTGTGTCTGATAGCAGTGTCTGTCTGTGTTCTGCATTCAGGTCTCGCTATCCACACAAACACGCAGCCAAAGAGTAAGTTGGGGTCATAGTACTGGTCTAGTGTTGTCTCTTTGGACATGTCCACCACTGGCCAGCCTCCAGACTCCCACACACAGAACTGTGGGAATAGAGATGCTGTCGCTTGAGGGGATTTAATGTAAGATACCTATAGTAAATCGATCACTA